GACTGTGTTTCCTCCCATCTATGTACAGGAGCCTGGGGCATTTCTGAGCGTGAGCGCTGACAAAGGTGGCATGCATGCACCTTAGCCTCAATTTCCTTGTCTAACCCAGGCCACCACAAATGGCTGCGTGCAAGCGCCTTCATTTGTACAATGCCAGGATGACCCTCGTGAAGGGAACCTAAGACCCTAGACCTCATTTAGGTAGGAATGACAACTCTGCTGCCCCACAGCAGACAACCTTGAAAAGTGGATAACTCATGTCTCTTAAGCCAGAAACTCTGAAACTCAGTGCCCGGACAACTCTCTGGCCATCCAGATAAAACCCAGGATAAGACACGAGAGAGTGTGAGATCTGTGGCTGATTCAGCAGCCACATCCCTGGCATTTAAAGGTGACTCAGGCAGCACTTGAATGGAAAGGATGTTGATGGCAGGGGCAGGATCAGCCTCCACTACTTGTAAGGGTAATCTACTGAGGCCATCAGCATGGCCCATTTCTTTGCCAGGTTTGTGAATTAAAGAAAAATCATAGGCTGACAGAAAGGTTGACCATCTCAGCATCCTTGGGGAGATGATATGGGGGGGTTGTTTGTTTGTAGTAAACAACCCCAACAGAGGCTTATGGTCAGTGTAGACCGTGAAATGTCTGCCATATAAAAATCATGGAATTTTTAAATTCCAGCAACAACAGCTAAGGCCTCCCTGTCTATCTGGGCGTAGTTTCGCTCAGCAGAAGGTTCTGGAATAGTATGCAACAGGAACCTGAGTTCGATCCGGTCTAAGGTGGCTAAGTACTGCTCCCACCCCATAAGGGGAGGCATCACAAGCGATGCACACAGGGAGAGTTTCATTAAAATGTGCAAGCACATTATTGGATGTGAGTAAGGCCTTAACCTCATTGAAGCTTGCTTCATGTGCTTGTGACCACTGCCACACTGCCCGTTTGTCCAGAAGCCTATGAAGTGGTTCAGCTACATTAGCTTTGTTAGGAATGAATGAATTATAGAAATTCAAGAGGCCCAGGAAAGCTTGTAGTTCAGCTTTGGACTTAGGCCTAGGAGCTTGCATGATAGCTTTTAATTTGGACTCAGCAGGATGAATCCCATTGGCATCAATTTTGAATCCCAGAAAATCTGTAGAAGGCACTCCAATTTTACATTTGTCCTTTTTAAGTTTGAGGCCTGTTTTCCGGAACCGCACCAGGACAGCTCTCAATCTCTGAGCTAAATTTTGAGTGGAATCTCCAGCAATTAAGACATCATCAAAATAGGGGCAAACCCCAGTTATACCCCTCAAAGTATTTTCCATTATGCTTTGGAAAATTCCAGGAGCCACATTTACTCCAAATTGTAGCCTTTTGACTTTGAATGCCCCCCCCGCGTGTTACAATGGTTTGTGCTACAGCAGCAGCTTCATCAACAGGTAACTGTTGATAAGCCTGTGCTAAATCAAGCTTTGCAAAAACACGCCCCCCCTTGAGGGAAGCCAGAATATGGCTGACTACAGGTACAGAATAGGCATGTTGTTGCAATGCCTTATTTAGAGTGCATTTGTAATCTGCACACATGCGAATGTCCCCATTAGCCTTAAGAGGCGTGACTATGGGAGTTTCCCAAGGACTGGAGTCAACAGGTTCTAAGACTCCTTGCTGAATCAATTTGTCCAATTCAGCATCAATTTTTCCTTTTAAAGCAAAAGGTACTCTCCTTGCTTTTACTCTGATAGGAGTGACAGTGGGGCCAATTTTAAGGAAACTGGGGGCCCTTTGTATGTACCCAGCTGTGGGTTGAAAACATCTGCAAATTCTTTGCAGACTTCCTGTAGATCTACTGTTTGCAAGCTATTAAGCCCTGTAACTTGTATTCCCAAGGCCTCAAACCAATCGAGTTCTATGAGACTCGTGTGCTCACCCCCCACTATCAATACATCTAATGGACCTTCAAAATCCTTATATTGTACGTTAAGGGTGGCCTCCCCCTTAACACAAACCTTGTAGTTTTGAAAATCTGTTAGAACTATATTAGAAGGCCTAAGCTTGGCCTGGAACCCACTACCAGAACAAATCTTTCTGAATGTGTGAATGGAAATGATTGAAAGTGCAGACCCAGTGTCTAGTTCCATGACCAATGGAACTCCTTGCAACTTCACCTTAAGTGACAGTTTCTTTTTGAGCGGCTTGTGTGTGCCTGTCCTATAAATGCTTCTTCGTGAAGCACAGAAACCCACCCTGTTTTGGCTGGGGACCCTGGTACCTTTCAGGCAAAATTCTTCTCGGGGTTGTACCTTCTGACGGCCCAGACACACAGCTGCTATGTGGCCTTGCTTTCCACATGCTCTACAGATTGCAGAACAGAACCTGCAGTCGGTCCTTTTGTGGCGACCTCCACACCCGAAGCACTTGGGTACAGCTGAAGACTTCTCTTTGCCTTCCTTCTGCTTTCCTTCTTTGGTTGGGTAGAAATGATCTACCTCTTCATCAGGTTCCTCTTCCAAGCTCCCTTGGACTCCCTCATGGTGCATGGAAACAGCTTCTGGAGTACTTCTGATAGGCCTCATATTCTTGATTGCCCCACCTGCTGCCTCTTCTGCAGTAACCTCTCTCAAGGCATCTTGGAACGATATGTCTTCTTCAGCAAAAAGTCTCTGCTGCAAGTCTCTGTTTCTCAGCCCACATACAAATCTGTCTCTCAGCCTTTCCTCTAAGTCTTTAAACTCACAGGGCTTAGCTGCTCTTCTCAATGCAGCAACGTACTCTTTAGCTGATTCACCAGCCCGTTGATCCCTCTGTTCAAAAGTATGTCTCCATGCAATAACAGACAACTTGGGCTGAAAATGTTCTTTTAGTAATTTCTTTAAATCTGTGTAGGTAATAGATTCAAGAGGTGCACGGGGTGCTAAATTTTCAGCAATTTCAAATGCATCTTGACCACAACACACAGCAGGGTGGCGGCCTTTAAGCCATCTTCTCTCACTTGATTTACTCTGAAATAGTTTTCTACTCTGGCCACATAAGACTCCCATCTTTCTGGATGCAACATCAAACTCAGAAAGTCTTCCTATCTTTGCCATTTTTGCAGTAGCACGGAAAGGGTGTATCAGCCAGCTTACCTCCAACGATGCTGTATTGGCAGGCAGTTGCTGAGTTTAACGCCATCTTCCTTGCTGCTTTCGGGACTCCAGGGTAAGCTTACAATTTCTTCAATTAATTGTAAGGGATCCCACCTTCGTCGCCAGTGTTGAGTCCTCAGCTAATGGCAATAAGTCACGAAGCATCTCGTAGTTTCAGCAGCCTCTTTATTGTAGTTCTGTAGCCCAGTTACAACTCTGAGGCACGCAAACCTCTTAGCTTCTCTTAATAACAATCCCTGGGCCAAAAAGCAACATTTAGGCACACTGCGCGCCTTGCGCATGTGCCTGAGCGCCGGCGCCAGCCAGTCTGGTCCCGGGCAGCTTGCAACTGCCCGGGACCATTGCAACGTCCCGAGCCTGCCTTTGCAGGCTCAGGACACAACACTAACCCTGTTGAATACTTGTAGCTGGACGATAGTTTGCTTGCTAAAGCGTGGAATGTTATTGAGTGTAACCCCATTGTTGTACCCATTCCTACCCTAGACCTTTCCCTGAACCCTATCCCGAATTCCACTACCTCTAATGATCCTCTTTTTCCCTTACCCTGATAAAACTTAATAAAATATTGGAAAAAAAGATGTCACTAAGAACAGTTCTGGGCCTTTTGCTCTTTTAACATTTTATTAAATGACTGAATAAAGAGACAAATAAAATAGTCTTCTCAAATTTGCATATGATATAAAATTCCATGGGATAGATAAAGCTAAAATATAGAAATAAAAATGTTTTATTGATCTGGAGAATTGGAGTGAAAGTAATAGAATTTAATTTTACAGAAAAAAATCCAGAGTTTTTCATTTTAAGAAGTAAAAGTAAATTTAATAGGGAGATTCCCCCTTCACTGGATGTGTTCAGAGGTCTGGTATTTTTCTATAATGCTTTAGACTGCACTACTTACTAATCATGGCATTGGACTTAGAATAGAATAGAGCTGGGATCTTGGAGGTCTTCTAGTGCAGCCCCCTGCTCAAACAGAACCTATACCATCTCAGACAAGTGACTGTCTAGTCTCTTCTTAAAAATCTTCCATGATTTCTGGGGGTAAGTTGTTCCATTGGTTAATTGTCCTCACTGTTAGGAAGTTTCTCCTTAATTCCAGGCTGCTTCTCTCTTTGATCAATTTCCAACCATTGTTTCTTGTCCTTCCCTCTGGTGCTTTGATGAATAACATGACCCTCTCTTCTTTGTGGCAGCCCCTCAAACACTGGAATTATGTCTCCCTTATTTTTTCTTTTCTTTAGACTAGCCATACCCAAGTCCCACAGCCGTTCTTCATACGTTTTAGTCTCCAGACCCTTGATCATCTTAATTGCTCTTCTCTGATTTTTCTTCCAAACTCTCAACATTTTTTTATGATATGGTAACCAAAATTGGCTGCAGTATTCCAGGTGTGGTCTTACTATAAGCAGTAATAATACTTCGTGTGATCTTGATTCTATGCCTCTGTTTATACAACTCAGGATTGTATTTTTTTGGTTGCTGCTGGGCACTGCTGGCTCATAGTCAAGTGATCGTCCACTGGGACTCCAAGGTCCCTCTCACAGTTACTGTTTTTGAGCCAGGTCTTGCCCAATCTGTACTTGTACCTTTGACTTTTCCTGCCTAAATGTAAAACTTTGTTTTTCTCCACATTAGTCAAATGTCAAAATGCATATATGCTACATAATATTAGCGGTTTTCTCAAATCCTTTTAATTTTTCTAAATAGAACCATGACTTTTTTCATGGTTCACTTTTCTTCGTCTAATTCTTTGGGATAATTATACAGATGGGAATTGTAATTTCCTTTTAGGGAGAAATAGGCCGGCAAGAGATTATACTCTGCTAGATAAATTAATTAAAGTCTTTGATATAAAATACTTTATAACTTCTATATAAAACTCGCAAAAACAGCCTGCCAATATTCCGATCGCTAAAAATGTCGCGAAACAGCAGAAAACGTTTTCTCCCCGGATTCTTAAGGTGTCCCTCCCGCATAGCCTTCTATCCTGTCTCAGACGATCGGTCGGGACTGGAGGGATCCGTCAGCCAATGAAAAGGCGCCGGGGTGGCTGGCGGATGGGGCGGATGGCAAAGAACGAGCTATGGCGACTCGAGGCGTTCGTCCACAGCGGGAGAATGGACGAAGTCAGACAGACCTGTTAATCATCCCCGTGTTACTGTTGTTCCTCCCAGGCATGACGGGTAAGTAATGGTTCCGGGAACAAATCGTAGGCTGGGCAGCTATACATTCAAAACCATCTCAACCAACCCGCTAATTAACCGGGTTGCAGCCGGTGGGGGTTGGCTGAAGTTTGAGGAAATTGCTGATAATGCGTTTTAAATATTTTTTTAAAAAAAGAAATCAAGGATGCCCGTCGAATTATGTATATTATCTCAGAAATTCATTAAAACGGAGTTTAACAAAATTACTCGGAATTTGAATATTTTCACTATATATTCACAATTTATTCATTTCATATTTGTTTTTTTCTCAAAGTGCTATCTTTATTCATTTACGGTACATATTTTCGGTGAAACTCTTAACATAAAAGACATTGATCGAAGATATCGGAAGGTCTAAGGAATAGAAAATCAGAAATTAAATCAAAACAAGCTGCAAATACACACAAAAAACTGTAACAAAACCAAACTGGATCCTCAACAGGAATGGAATAGAAATATTTTATTATGCTTTCTCTTATTGTTTCAAAACTTAATGTAAGTTTTACACATGGATAATGGCATACAGATATTTTCAGTTTTTTGTTTTGTCTTCAATAGTTAATAGTTAAAAGTATGTTTGCTTTAATATATTTAGAATGTATTCTGTTTATTCTCCTTAGATTAAAAAAAAGGCCTTAGGGAACAGTCTTGAACATAGATCATTACAGAATAAGGGCACAGCTCTAGAGAGTAGATTTATTGTCCCCTAGGATTAGGATGGCAGGTATGGAACTGGAAGATGTCCAATAGAACTGCCTGATATATCATGAATGCTTTGGGAAATTCTAAACACAGTTTTTATCCTGTGATGGACAAAATTACATCTGATGCTGGAATGTTATAATTATCTGTATTTCTGGACTTCTTCTAAAATTTCTGCTCCAACTTCATTTGAAAAATCAAGACAGGGAATTATGTTGGTTCTGTTTTGATGTTTAACCCCATAAAATAATGACAGCAACTACTGAAGATATAGGATGATATCAGTGGATTGTAATTTACAGTTTATATTTTGTGGCCCTGAATATTCATATAAGAAAGTTGACAGAATGGGCAAAGGGTACTCTCACAAACTGCACATAATTCAGTGAGAAATTTCAAAAGATTATTTAAATCATTAAATCCAACCTCTTGGAGTCTCCTTTGGCTAATTGGTTCTTCTGTAAAACTGTTCTTATTGTTAGGGATTTAAAAAAAAAGATTCAGTCACAATTTGATTTACTATAATTTAAATAAATTCTGCAAAGACTTTCGTGTGATGCTCTTTCAAGTATTTGAAAATTGTTATTGTATGCTGCCTCAAATCTTTTCTTTTCAAAGTTAAATTTTCCCAGATACATCAGTATATCTAAGACATAGTTTCTAGCAACTATCTTCCATCTTCTCTGAATTAAAGCTTCAAAGGCAATTTGTATCATGGTAGGCTTTTTTAACCATTGGTAGGTTTTGTGCCTTTGAATCAATTTTGACTCCTGGTGACTGCCCAGAACCTATAGCTTCTGTTAACATTATGAAATAATTTACTTTTGTTCTTACTGGATTACTGCAATCCATGGCTTTTCCTTAACTTTTTGCTATTGAATAAAAGAATAACAGAATAACAAGTGTTGGAACAGACTTGGAGGTCTTCTAGTCCAATCATTGCTCAAGCAGGAGACCCTATACTATTTCGGACAATGACTATCCAGTCTCTTTAAAAACCTCCAGTGATGGAATATCCACAACTTTTGAAGGCAAGCCATTCCACTGGTTTATTGTTCTCATTGTCAGGAAATTTCTCCTTAGTTCTAGGTTGCTTCCCTCCTTGATTAGTTTCCAACTATTGTTTCCTGTCAGTTACTGCTATTGAGTCAAGTTTCAACTAATCTTATCTGGTTGGTTTTTCTTACCTAAATGTAAAACCTTACTTTTTTCTACATTGAATTTCATTTTGTTAGATAAGGTCCAGTGTTCAAGTCTGTCAAGGTCAATCTGGATCTTGCTTCTACGTGTCTGAAAATCTTGCTTGATTATCTTTTCCAGGATCTTCCCAGGTATTGATGTCAGGCTGATTGGTCTGTAGTTTCCTGGATCTGTTCCCCCCCCCCTTTTTTTGAAGATGGGAACCACATCAGCTTTTTTCCAGTCCTCTGGTAGTTCTCTGGTGCTCTAGGATCTTTGAAACATATGGTTTCATGGTTCTGAGATCACGTTTGCCAGCTTCTTCAGAAACCTGGCATGTAATCTATTTGGTCCTGGTAATTTGAACTTGTCTAGAGTGGACAGGTATTGTCTTAAAATTTTCTTGCCTGTTTTAATTTTTATTCGTAGTCTGTCTTTTACGATTCTCCTTTTGGTAGGTTGAGGTATTTTTTCTTTTTGCATGAAACAGATGGAAAGAAAGAATTAAGCAGGTCGTCTTTCTCCCTGCTGCCTGTCACTTCCTTGCTATCTTTTCTCATTAGTGGACCGATTGTTTCTTTGACTTTTTTCTTATTTTTTTATATGTTGAAAGAATTTTTTAAAATTATTTTTGACATTTGTTGCAAGTCTTAGTTCATTCTGAGCCTTAGCTTTCCTAACTTCCTCTTTGCAGATTTGGGCTATATGCTGGTATTTGCCTTAGTTTTGTATGTCTCTCTTTCCATTTTTTTTTATACTTATCCTTTTTGTCTCTTAATTTATCAGAGTTCTTTGTGTAACCATGCTGTTTTTTTCTTGGATTTTTTTTTTAAGTAGTATTGTGCTAGACTGGGCTTTTATAATCATATTTTTCAAAGTTACCAAAGCTTCTTGAGCCATTTTCCCCTTTTAAGATTTTCATCAATGAAATGGATGGAATCCATGAAATCCATGGAATAAAATCCACGGAATGGAATGAACCTCTTCTTTTTTGTGCCTGGTACTGTACAGTTTTTAACTGAATAAATCTTCCTTTTGTCTACTTTGTTAAGGGAACTTCTTAAAACAATTTAAAAAATCACAAAAATGGCAGGAGCAGCACATACACATGTGAAGTATTTATTGAATTCAGTGCATATTGAGATAACAGCATCTAACAGTAACTTGGTAACCTCAACTGCACATGAGCTAACCTCACATTAACTGAATTTTGGTTTGCTGTAAATGCAACTTGAGATCACTAAATACACACTAAATTGAATAATGCATTATTCCAATTTGTATTAATCACAATCTTGCTGTATTTAAAGTTATTCAGTAGGAAGATATGTTTTGTTCTTTAATGTCCCATGATGAATAATAGTCTTAAGCTGCAAGAAGGCAGATTTCAATTGAACAGTTAAAAACAAAGAATGGTATAAATTGCAGAAGTAGTTGAATATATATCATTAATATTTTCAAGTCAAGTTTGGGCAGCCTCTGTTGAGAATGCTTTAATCTGAATTCTTGCTTTGCTTGGATTGGATGGTTTAAACATCAATTTCAACTTCAAAGTATTATGAAAAATCATTTTAAAAAGAATAAAGTAATCAAAGCTGATTTTAATATTTTCTATGACATAATTTTAAATGTTGTAATTCATTTTTGGTTCACTATTTGCTGTTTTGATGGCTAGAGTCTATTGATGAAGGATGGGTGTATATGGTATAATAAATACTCAGTTCAATTTTTCGTTGCAATCTTCCATTGACTGACCATTGCCAATTGGTAATATTTTGAGCACAGCATACATTCTTGCATGAGTTCCTGCAAGCCACAGAAATAAAGTTTAAAAAAGAAAAAAAGAGAAAGAATTGTAAAAAATACCTTGCAAATATATTGGTAAAAATGGAGAATAGGTGAGAAGTATATTTCTTACCCAGTACAATCAGTAAATTGTAGATGTTATCTGAAGTGAGCCATGAGAAATCAGACTTGACCATCAGCTCTGAATTCTTTCCAATTGCTCATGAAATTTGAATGGAAACTTAAAGGATAGCTATATCTACTACCAGCAGCGAGTTCTTTTTTATTGTTAAAATATTCATTGCGTAGAACCTAAGGCTACCTCTTCTCTCTTTCCATATCCTTTCTCAAAGCGTTTGTTTACACACTGTAAAGCTAATATTAAAAAACCTGCTGTGCAGCAATTCTAGCTAACAGCCTAGATGGTGCTTTCTACATGTTATGTGTATGATTATTTGCCCATTTAGCATAACTTCACATTTTTTGCTTCATACAATATATACTGTTGATTCTCAGAGAAGAAATCTTTTCTCTTGAAAACAAAATAACAATCAATCAGAATAGAGCTGGAAAGGACCTTGGAGGTTTTCCAGTCCAGCCCACTGCTCAAGCAGGAGACCTTATGCCATTTCAGACAAGTGGTTGTCCAATCTTGTCTTAAAAACCTCTAGTGATGAAGCACCCACAATGTCTGAAGGCAAGGTGTTCCATTGATTAATTCTTCTCACTGTTAGGAAGTTTTTCCTTAATTCCAAGTTAATTCTCTCCTTGATTAGTTTCCATCCATTGTTTCTTGTCCTGCCCTCTGGTGCTTTGAACAATAATATGATCCCTTCTTTGTGGTAGCCCCTCAAATACTGGAATACTGCTATCATGTCACCCCTAGTCCTTCTTTTCTCTAGACTAGCCAAACCTAAATCCTGCAACCTTTCTTCACATGTTTTAGTCTCCAGGCCTTTAATCATTTTAGTTGCTCTTCTTTGAACTTTTTCCAAAGTGTCAACATCTTTTTTGTAGTGTGGTGATTAAAACTGGATGCAATATTCAGGTCTAATCTTACTAACGTTTTATAAAGTGGTACTAAAACTTCACGTGATTTTGATTCTATGCCTCTGTTTATACAACCAAGGACTGCATTAGCTTTTTTGGCTGCTGGCTCATGTTTAAATGATCATCCATTAGGACTCCAAGGTCATCCCAAAGGTGCTTTTTCAAGAGGCAACTGGGCTTCCTGGTTTTTCTTTGAAAATGTTTTGCTTCTCATCCAAGAAGCTTCTTCAGCTCTGATTAGATGGTGGGGAATGGAAGGATTTATATTCCTTGAAGACAACTGGTCATTTGCCTTTTAGAGAGTCCTTGAGGCCAGTTGGAGATTTGTCTGTGTTCTCAGAGTCACCTGAATAGTGCAACTGAATGTAGAGCCTTCTTGGAACTTCTGAAAGGACTTTTGTGGAGCTGTGCTTTCTGCAGAATGTTTTCTGCCCTGTGTCCCTTCACTGTTGACCACAGACACAGGCTATTGGGGATGAGTCTGTTGTCTCCCTCTCAGACTGCAGCGCAAATGATTCCTGTAGTCTGCAATTTGTCTGGAAATCCATTCATGCTCCCATACCATTCAAAGGATGTTCATCCTAAAGTGCATAGCTAAATGACTGAAGATTCTCGGTCATCCAGGTCATGGTTGTCCCAAAAGTCCCTCTCACAGTTACTGTTTTTGAGCCAGGTTTCACCTAAACTGTACTTATACCTTTGTTTTCTTCTCCCTAAATGTAAAACTTTGCTTTTTTCCACATCATAATTCATTTTATTGGGTAGGGCCCATTGTTCAAGCCTTTTTGATTCTGTGCTTGTCTTCTGGGGTGTTGACTATTCCTGCCCGCTTAGTGTCATCTACAAATTTGATGAGTTCCCCTTCTATTCCCCCATCTAAGTCATTTATGAAGGTATTGAAGAGTACTGGGCTTAAGACGGAACCTTGTGGTACCCCACTGCTTACTTCCCTCCATATAGGTATAGTACCATTAAAGACTACTCACTGAGTATGGCTTGTCAGCCAGTTACAAATCCATCTGGTGGTGATGCTGTCTATCCCGCATTTTTCTAGTTTACCAAGAAGTAGATTGTGGTCTACTTTGTCCACAAAAGACTTATAATCTATCATTAACCCACTGCAATCATTGTCTCTGATCTGTCCAGGAGCAAATATCATTGACTGATTCTTGATAATAAAACTTTTTCTTTAAATTATAACTGGAATTTTTCCAAATGGTTGCATTTCACTCCCCAAAGTCATAAGAGTCTGTTGAGAATAACTCTGCAGCACTTGGAGGTTTTCCTGAAGATTGAAGAACATAATTTCTTAACAGTTGTCTTCTGGTTGCATATAATAAGTCTATTCTGCAATCTCCACCACCTTTCCTATGAAAATTTATTTATTTATTTATTTATGAGACTTATATACCGCTTTAAGTGCAAGCACTCTCTAAGCGGTGTACACCAGTAATCAATGTATACATATATTTACATTGCCCCCAACAATCTGGGTCCTCATTTTACCTACCCCGGAAGGATGGAAGGCTGAGTCAACCTTGAGCCGGTGAGATTTGAACCGCTGACCTGCTGAACACAGTCAGCTAAAGTGGCCTGCAGTACTGCACTCTAACTGCTGCGCCACCTCGGCTCCTCCAGTTCATCACACACCACAATATAAAACAAGATGTTGAGACTCTGGAAAGAGTGCAGAGAAGAGCAACAAAGATGATCAGGAGGGCTGGAGGCTAAAACATATGAAGAATGGTTGCAGGAATTGGGTATGTCTAGGCTAGTGAAAAAAAGTCTAAGAATGACATGATAGCAGTGTTCCAGTATTTGATGGTCTGCCACAAAGAAGAAGGGGTCAACTTATTTTCTAGCACCAGAAGTCAAGAGAAGAAGCAATGGGTGGAAACTAATCAAAGAGAGAAGCAACCTACAACTAAGGAGAAATTTCCTGGCAATGAGACTATTGCAACAAATTATAGTGAGATTGGAAAATACTAGAAAATTATGCTAGGTATAAACAACCATTTGATAGGAGAGGAGTTCATTAGTAGTTTACCTCATGAAAGACAAGTCAGCCTGGCTATAAAAAGCTTGGAAAGAAAAAAATTAAAATGTTGGAAAAATTTGTACCTTTTTTGTGCTTCAATAATAAATGAAGGATTGGAGGGGGTCTGTTGTAGTATCCTACATTTTATCTTTTACCCCTAATTTTTGAATTAAACATCTTACTGAGTTTGTATAATTTTTACAGCTTTGATTATGTGCTATTGCAAGAAGCTTGGCAATGGCTATCATTTCAGTGTTCAGTTTTAAAGTAGAACTTCTAAACAACAAGTATAAAAAAAAGTTCCATTAACATTATAAAATGCAAATATTTATTGAGGTTGAAAAGTATGTTTTCGTACAGGTGCATCATGCTGTTACCTTGCGAAGAATAACTTAATGTGTCATGATGTTTGTGAACTGGTAAGTTAGTTTCTGAATTTATGCTAAACTTTGTATTCTAATGTTATATATTTCCATGTGTTTATCACCTTTAATGGTAAAGTGTTAAGCCTGAGATCTTTAGTGTCATCCAGATATTTTCACGAACATATTTTAATTATGAGCGAATTTTAAGCTTAATTGTATGAGTAATCATAGTCCCAGTTCTTTCATTCTTTATCAATGGTTCTCAACCTGTGGGTTGGGACCCCATTTGGGGTCGAACGACTATTTCACGGGAGTCGCCAAACAACGCAATCCGCCATTTTCCCCCCCCTTTTCCTTAGCTGTGCTATTCCCTTTTATTCTACTGACTTTTGAAAGCCAATAGAATAGACTTTCTTGCATAGAGTCTAATTCTATTGGCTTTCAAAAGCCAATAGGAATTGTCCAGGCTGTCTCTGCCCTGTTGAGCCCGCCAAAAGTTCCATTCTGCAAACGGTGCTGCACCAGTTGAATAGTCCTCGACGTACGACCGGTTGAGTAGTCCTCGACTTACGACCGGTTGGGGGTCGCGGCATTAAAAAGGTTGAGAACCACTGTTCTATATGAAGGCATAATTTATAAATCAGTTTATATTTTTAATTCTGTTTTGCATTTTTTAATTCTGTTTTGTATATCACCTTTTTTCTTGCTTGTTCCCAGAATGTCACTTTGGTATTTTGAATTGCAACTGAAAATTTTAAACAGATAACAGTTTATATCTATTGTTACATAAAACATGCAAAAATCTTCAGAAACATATTGCTAATAAAAAGCTGGAAACATGCATTTGGATGTTAGACCATAGGTGACAATGGAATTAAATTAATATGAACAATGGATGAAACAATTGTAGAAAATTTAAATGAATTCATTGTTTTCATAGTTGAATGTTGGGGAAATAATAGTACCTGGGCAAATACCTCAGGAAACGTGTATTAATAATTCACAAAATATTGTTATGGTTCCAACAAACAGAGACGAATAAAACAGAACTTGGAGGTTTGAAAATTTCTCAAAGAAACTGTTTATTAGTTACAAAGTATCAGCACAATCAAAAGTGAAACCAATCTGAATATATAAGTAACAATTTCCCAATTACAAATTATAATGTCCCATCCACAAAACTATGTAATCTACTACGTTCCCCAATATATTCATTTGGCGGGCTTTTTTATACAACAGCCAGTCCCTGATTGCGGGAGAAGTACATGACCATGGTTCCCATAGGATAGAAAGTTATTTTGACTAATGAAACACCTGGGTAACCCCCCTCCCTCCGTTCTATGTGGCAATCTAGAATAAGAAAAAAAAATGGCTATACCCACACTCAGTGTAGAGTTGACAGTCGGCCCCTCTTAAAAGAAAAGAGTCTCCTGTAGGGGAAACAAGCATTTCCTTGAGGCTTGTGAGGATATTTCTTGTAAAAATTTTGTATTAACCTTTCTGCTTTCACATTTGTATATTTCACGCATGTAACTTCTGACATTGGATAGGCTTTCCACTGAATGAGATATTGTAACTTCCCCTAGTACAACCTAGAATCAAGAATTCATTTTATCTCATAATGTGTTTCTCCTTCTACCACTATTGGACCCGGTAGCTTCTTTAGAATAGGTTTTAAAGAGGATTCAGAAACAGTTTCAACAGACTACAATGGAACACATGGTGGACTTTCCCCAAAAGCCGTGGAAGCTTTAACTCCACAGTAACAGGATTTATGATTTTGGTTATAGGAAAAGGACCCAGAAACTTTGGCCCCAATTTTTTGCTGGGTAATCTCAATCTCAAATATTTAGTTGAAAGATAAACCTTTTCCCCAATATAAAATGGTCTTTGAGGGGAGCGTTTCTTATCAGCTTGCTCCTTGTAAACTTAGCAGCTTGGGTTAAGCTTTCTTTACATTCGCCCAAACACTTTGGAAGGAGGTCACCCACTGATCCAAAGTTTGGGAGGCAGGTGACTCCTGGGGGTACTCAGGCATAGGCACAAAATCCCTCCCAGTAATTATCTTAAATGTTATAAGGCCAGTGCTACTGTACACAGTATTATTATAGGCTACTTTAGCGAAAGGCAGAAGATTGGCCCAATTAGTCTGCTGGTAAGTAACATAGCATCTGAGGTACTGCTCCACCATTGAGTTCGCATGTTCAGCTGCCCCATTAGTACTGCCAATGAAAGTCCCTGAGTAAACCCAATAAGCTTAACGAACTCCCCCCCAGAACGAATTGAACCCCTCTATCTGAAATAATCTGCTTAGGAGCTCTATGGAGCTGATAGATGTGCTTCAAAAACATATTGGTCAGTTTCTGAGCAGAGGGAAGCCCTGAACAAGCGATGAAATGAGCTTATTTGGAAAATAGATCAATCACAGTCCATATTATAGTATTTCCTTTGCTCTCAGGAGCAGGTCCACTATAAAAGCCATAGCTATTTCTTCCCAAGGCGGAAAGGGTCAGCTATTTGCTGCAGGAGCCCTGGAGGCTTTCCAGGATGTTTCTTCATAGCAGCACAGGTGGCACAGCTTTTCACATAACTCTCAATGTCTTTTTTCATGCCTGGTCACCAAAATTGCCTTCTAATCAAGCAAAACCTCGGAACCTGCATATCATTTTTAGTGAGCCAGCCAGGAGAGGTGCTTGGTCCTAGGGAGGTTCAAGAAGGGGAAAGGCGCCAAGCATGCTCTCGGGTTTCCTGGAGGTGCCCTTCTTGACTCTTCACTGTGGCTTTTAAATAAGAACTAGGTTTTTTTTGTGGTGGTTATTGCCTTCCTTTAGTTCCTGCATACTCAGGAGGACTGAAGATAAGGTAAGCTTATATTGCACAGGCTTGCTCAGGGGAGTGTGTATGTATGTGTGTAACAGCATGTCTGTTTCCTTCAATCATTTCCCACTGTTGACCAGAGCTGAGTGGAAGAGTTTGCCTCATCCGCACCTAGACCCCCCGCATATCTGGGGGGCATTTAGAAAGCAAGGGGGGCAAGCTTGTACTCTCGTGCTCCAACAGGTTGTGAGTGTTGAACTTGTGATCTGAGATTTGTGGTTGCTCCTTATATATTTCCCACTGTTGACCAGGCCTAGGCGTGATACAATTCCAGCCACCTGTACACCCCTGCGAGGCTGTTAAGCTGTTAACTGGGGGTCCCTACATCACAAAGAGAATTGGTGGATCTCTTGTGGCTCAACAGGCTGTGCACGTGGTGTGAGAGATTTAAACACATGAGCTCAGCCCAAAGAAAACTTGTTAGAATGAATAAAAAAAAGAACGTGCCCTCAGCCCCCTTGAGTGTGTTATCAGGAACTTTGATAAGCTTAAAACCCGTCAGGATATGAAAATTGAAATTCTAACTAAGTACAATGCCCTCTGGCATCAGGATATGCCTACTGTTTGGCCCAAAGGGGGGTCCATAGATTTGGGTTTTTTTGAAACTATGGGAGATTATGCTCAAAGAGGCATGGATCATGATCAACAAGCTTATTATGCACTTTTTTGGATTTTACAAAGGAATAAGCAAATGTTTGAGGACTGTGGGTTGTGGCACCTTCCCACAGCACCAACTTTTCCTGCTTTATCCTCTGCTCCGCCACCTTGTAAGGGGATTTACCCCCTTACAGAGAAGGTAACAATTGGAAGGGGGGTCACTAATAATTGCCTGGTTCATACCTCCTTCTCCATTTCTAACCTTTATGCATTGAAGGACTGATTAGGTTCTTATGCTGCAGCCCCACACAAATATTCTGAATTGGTTCTGTCTATTATTCGAACTCACAACCCTAACTGGGCAGACCTCCAAGCCACGCTGGATGTCTTTTTAACATCAGAGGAAAGACGTCTGGTAGGAAATACTGCAAAAAGATTAGCTGAAGAAAGGAAGGTTCTTTGTACTGAAACTGACCCTAGATGGTCATTGATACTTATGAAAGCAAAGAATATGAACACTTAAAAGGCTTTCAAGACCTTCTTGTCTCTGCATTGCAAACTGCTACCCCTAAACAGAAAAATCTGGGCAAAATTTACGATGTTCATCAATTGCTATCAGAGAGCTCCAGTGACTTCCTTGAGCACCTTTACGAAGCCTTCAGAAAATATTTATTTATTTATTTATTTATGAGACTTATATACCGCTTTAAGTGCAAGCACTCTTTAAGCGGTGTACACCAGTAAGCAATGTATATATATATATATATATTTACATTGCCCCCAACAATCTGGGTCCTCATTTTACCTACCCCGGAAGGATGGAAGGCTGAGTCAACCTTAAGCCGGTGAAATTTGAACCGCTGACCTGCTGAACACAGTCAGCTAAAGTGGCCTGCAATACTGCACTCTTAACTGCTGCGCCACCTCGGCTCTTATAATATAGTGAAGCTCCAGAACATGCTCTTTATTGGGCAGAGTGCACCAGATATTAGGCATAAATTACAGAAGCTGGAAGGGGCTTCAGCTGACACAATTGGAAAATTGTTGGAAGTAGCTTATAAAACCCATGTCTCAAAACCAGAAGTGACAGACAAAGAGGTTAAAAGGGATGAAAAACAAAGTGTTGTTTTGCTGGGTCAAGCTCTATAACAAGTACCCCCAGAGGGAGGGGGAAGAAATGGGACTCGCAGAAGAGAGTGTCGAGGAGAGTAGGGTCCCCTCGGAGAAAAGTGGAACGATGCCACCAAGATTCCAGGTACCCCTGGAATGTCCAATACAATCTTTTGCCCTAAGACAGGACCAATGTCGTATATGTAAGAAATTTGGCCACTGGGGCAGGGAATATCCTTTACGTTCCCTTCCCAGCCGTCCTATAGGGCGTGTTACTCCACAATCATGTTTTAAATACTAGGGGAGTCAGGCTGAGGGGCCTTTGTCTCCCTGCTCTTTCAAATGATTCTCCCTCTGCATCCCTGGTAAAGTTTAAAGTCAGAGGGAAAGCAATGCCTTTTTTGATTGATACAGGGATCACATTCAGTATTAAATAAGCCTCTTGGAAATTCTTCCTCATAAACCTTCCA